TCGGCCAAATTTTGATGCTCGATTTTAGGTTACGAATTAGTAAAAAAGTTTCTGTATATACAGGGTGTTTTTGAATGGAGTAGCATAAATGATACCAGTCAATCTACATTTCAAAAAAACACGATTTGCAAAAAATCGCCTTAGTAAAATGTTCACGCCTGAAGAGATATGGGCCATCAAAGTTTCCAAAAAAATTATGAAAATTGGCTGTAATTTGAAAACCGAACGAGGTACAAATAACACATTTTTTACAGGTTGTTTACTAATACAGATGCGAGTTTTCAACTATTTTTCGAAAATTTTAACCCCTCGAAAGGGGTTGAAATAACCACCCCTCNGTAGATAATATTAGATTGAGGACTGAGCTTCGTCTCCACGAGAATGGGCAACACATAATTATAAATTATTCAAATAACTCACACACTGACGTATTCGTAATTTTATCCTCTATTTGTTACTGTCAAGATCCAATATGGCGCCCATAAGAAAAAAAAAACAATTGAATATTGCATAACTGAAATTAGTGGCCGTAGAAATTTTCTTTCGACGAAAATGGATTGCTCGTATCTTTTTATCCCCCAGTACCAAATTTCACTTATTTCTGTTGTGAAATAAGGACGCTAGATGGCATTCTCTAAAATCGCTATTTTCAGTTTTTTCACAATATTTCAGGAACGGCAGCAGATATGTTTGATCTGTTTGGTTTATTTTAATGACCCTGAAAAGGCGCAACTTTTTTCTAATTTGGGCCACCCTATACATCTTTTCCCAGATGCCAATGGAGAGCCATGAAAAACGGACCACTCTGTATTTTTCCGAAATACATTTAATTTTCTGAAATAATGTTAACTACCCTGAAATGGATACAATTGAAACATCTGAAATGCATCTGGAAAAGGTGTAGCGCATTTTACAAACCAGTGCGACATATACAATATTTATACCTATTTGTCAGCAAAAATATTTCTAAATTGTAAAATTAGGCCAAAATCGAATGCATTATTTTTGTTGTTCACTAAATAATTTAAGAACGGTAGATAACTGTGAATTTGAAACAGCATTTTTTAAATAGATAATATTATTGAAAATATACGTAAAATTACCAACTGTTAAATAATCTAACAGCAAAAAACCAATTTACTACAATTACTCTAGACTTTACGGTGTAGTTAACCATTTAAATATAATTTGTTATAGACATAAAACTGTAGTACCTACCATAAAATCATAGAGCACTTTTTCAAGGTCTAGAGCGAGCGATGGTTTATAAATTATTCATGGCTTATTTTTAAGAATTAAACAAGTAAAATGGGACATTTTATTTAAGTCAACTTAAAACTTGTAGGACAAGAATATATCAACATATTGTTTCTATTTTGAAAAACTTATCATTTATCTAGTAATGCTAGAGGCAATAACTAAATTAATTAAATAGTAATTATTTTTTCCGGTTATTACAATTCATTCTCGGTAGTTTCATTTAATAATTAAATAGCTTTATTTTTATTTCTTGATTTGCGATGCATGTCAAATTTATTCCTTTGTAGTTTGATTTCTAACTAACCGATAATTAAATTTAATTGAAAATGTTGTCAGTATCATTATTTATGCAACAGACATTTCCGTTATACAGGGTGTTTAATAATGTGCTCGGCCAAATTTTGATGCCGGATTTTAGGTTATGAATTAGTAAAAAAGTTTCTGTATATATATCAGGTGTTCAATCGGTCAAACGTCAAACGTCACTAATATATTCTATGAAAAAACATTAGGGAATGTCGAAATATGCCTCGTTTCCAAGTTATAGAATGCTAAAGTTGAAAAAAAAAGTTAAAACTACTTTCAGACGTATTTCGGAAACATCATGTTTTTTTATAATTCACGTGGGGAGTACTACTGTGGACCTCCATTATCAGATACAATTTGATGTAGATACAAAGAAAAGTGGGGTACTTTATAAAAAATAAATGTTACACATATTTAAAATTTCGTAACCTTGATGTCATTTTTGGTATAACATTTTTACTGGCATATATGATATAACATTGTGTTCTCTCTAAATCTGGGAAAGGGTGTACATTGCTGTAAAGCCTTTAGTGCCATACCATAATTGCGTCCAATTTGAAATTTCTTGGGAGAAAAAACTATGAGCGCAGTTTACTAAGTCTAAACCCGAAACTATGTTGCATTATGTAAAAAAGGGCTATATTATGTAAAAATGCTTGTGGATAATCAAAAACCAAAGCTGCATGCTACATAAAAATGAAATCGCTTTATAGTCACATTCTTATAATTAAAAAAGGCAATTTTGTTTTAAACTTTAACAAACCACATTTTTAAAACAAATGGTTTTCGAATAAATCTTCATAAGAATATTTTCTGTTAATTTGTGACGTATAATCCACCATTTCCAATTTTTTGATTCATCAGAAAAAGTACACTTGTACATAACCAATTATAGTATCAACATTTTACTTTACTTGTGATTCACGATCAAGTCAACACAAATAAGTGACATATTAGGTATTGGTATTTGCTATCCTGATTTTTCCATATTAAACTTCTAATTATCACTTGTTTCACAATTATTTTTATCTGTAAATAACAAAAAACATTCCACACGTATTGCGCATATAACACTGATTCGAAATTTTTGTAATTCTTTACATAAAGGAACATAAATACCAATAACACAGCTACAACAAAAAATCTCCACATATTGTTACTATCTTAAGAATGTAATAATTTACATTTCTTTCTTCAAATCTATCATATACCTCTAAACCTTTTTGAGATATACAGGGTGATTCAGAACTTATCCAAAAAAAAATTCTGGATGTACAGGGGACCCTTACAAATACAATTTTGTAAAGAAAAAATCAAAAAGGTCAGTTCGAAATTGATTTAAAAATACACTTCTGCACGGCACTGGAAACTGGTCCACTGTAAAACCTGACCTCGCACAATGCGACCGGTATGGCGGCGTGATAAAAACGGACAAAAACTTTCGCAAGGAAAGAAATATGTAAATAGAATTTTATCGCACCTATTTTATATCGGCAAATTCAAATGCTTTTGCCTTTATTAATTATTATTAATAAAATTAATTTGTGTTTTTAAATAATAAAATCATTTGACATACCCGATGCTGCAACAGCAATTGTTCAAAATTTTATCCACTCACGTGTAAACACATTTGGGTCCGTCTTACTCACTTTCTACGAACTAACACAAATGATGTCTTGCTTCACCATAAATTAAAACGATATCCATCAACTCTGAGTTGCTATACACGCAAGCCATTTTTGACACTAACTACTAAAAAAATGATGTAAATACCACAGATAACAGGTAAAAACTACCGCAACGACGGATTTCAGTATTAGGAGTCACATGGCTCTCCACGCGTATTGCGAATGACGCTAGAGACTACAGTTGTCCAGCTATGTAGTGGTTTAATGTGTTATAACTTTAATATTTTTTTTCTCAGAAACTATAAGGATTTTACAAAAAATTTTTTTTCAATATTGACTAAATTTCTCATGCCGCATCTATTCCCAATTTTTTTTGGATAAGTTGTGAATCACTTGTATTTCAGAAAGGCTAATATAATCTCAGGAGGCATTATTTATATTTCTGATTCGTGAATTTTATTTCAGAAATGTTAATTAAAGTTTAGAATTCTATTTGAAAAACTGCAATTGTATTTCAGAAAATATTTAACTAAAATAAAATTTAATTAAAACTAACTATTGCAACTGATGCTTTCTTGGCTCAATTCCACAAAAGTATTGTACTGTATGTAAACAGTATTAGCTTGCACAAATAGGTCTCTTAACTTGTAATATGTTTACAAATTTTACAGAAGTGATTGACGGAAACAAAAATATGACGTCACGATATCGCAAAATGCTTATTTTAAATAAAATCAAATCCATTCTCTTCACCTTTGACGACAAATTGTTCCAAATATGTCCAATATTAAGATATAACTTTTCTACAGCTACAATAATATACCCACAGTACCTAACCTAAACCTGTTATCTAAGAGTAATTAATCTTACTGTCATAGACCACATTTTTTTCTTCTGTGAAAGTTTTAACAAAAAAAATTAATTCTATTGAAACTTTTCTTCTATTATTATATTTAATACTAAGAAAGACATTAAACATTATAAGAAATAAAGAAATTTACAATTAGTAATATTTTTATACAACAGAAAATTGTAGTTCATTATAGAATGCTGCTTGGTGAAGCACCCCAAGTGAAATATGATGGAAGTATCATTTAAATGTTCTGCCAGTATGTTAGTACATATTTTTGAGTAATAGAGCATAAAGTGTATATAACTAACCTCTTTTAAATGTATTCAGAAAATATGTAGCTGCTAAAGTAGAAAACTAAAAACTACTCTTCTAGTATATAAGAATTAATTAAAGAAATAAGGAATTTTTTGAGTATTACATTCATAATTTACAGGGCTATGTTTGATCTTTAGAAACGCCAATCATAAGTTTGTTTTCTCAAATTACCTCGTGAAAACTGATCTTTTTTAACCTCTTATGCCCCGCTGCTGTACCTCAAACAACCGCGCATAACCAACTGGGAGTAACGGCATGCATTCTTGTCAAATTTCATACGTAATACTTAGGTAATAAGTTTAAACAACAGTTTTTTATGTTCGGAACTTCGTCCATAAAATCGCAAAGTACTACAAAAGTAATATGATTTTACAAAATTATTTTCCATTAACAGTTGGTTTAAAAAGTGACATGTGACACTGATCAACCTGTACATACAATCGAGTTCAGGAGTTGCTTAGTGGCGGTGTAGACAAGAGCTTAATGTGATTTAAAAGTCGATTATATTAAAACTTTAAATTTACACCCTTGTATAATATTGTTAATTGTAAATTTTGCATACGATGTAGGTACAACTTATAATATCCTAGTAGAGACAGAGACAGGGATAACAAAAGAGCAAATTAACAAAAACTTACCACCTGGTGGTCTCTCTCTTTCCTTGGGATAGCATATTCTAAACAGTCCTTTCGTCCTTGTGTAGTAATAATATTTCGAGTTCAGACTTTCCAAAAGTGCCTGATTCTGTGGGTCCGAATGTGTGCTCAAATAGTTCTGTAACAAAAGTACTCGTTAATTTGTGTAAAAAGATATGGAAAAAGAATATTACATAACCTTTGAATTTCTATAACTAAATAACGCAGATATTAAGAAAAGTATTTAAGTTTTTAATTATGTATAAAGAAACCTATTTCTTATCCAATGTGGTAGCTAGTTTCCAGTTTTTAAAAATAATAGATACTTGTATCTCACGGTTACAATTAATATAATAATAAATTAATTTGCACAATTTATGTATTACAAGATTGCTCAATTATTTGGAAACAACACAAGGATATATTTTTTGATTTCAAAAACACACTGTCTAAATATTTATAAAATAAATAGTTGTGGAATAATAAGAGGCGGTAAGTCTATAAAATAAATAATAATTATTGTTATTTAAATCGCTACAAATAACTTCATGTCAGTATCTAGACATGTAGGTACCAAGCTCGTACTAAGTATTTTGTTTGACATAAAGAAACACATAATATCTACTACTTAACATTTTTTACAGTGATGTAACTTGAGAAAATAAAAATTACACAAAAATTAATTAACAAAATAGTAGTGAATGAAAGAAATGACAAAAAATATGTATACGTTAATAAAAACATGAACAAGTAGGCAGTTTTTTTTTAAATTTACTTGTGATATATTAAATCACTATTCTATGTTATTCTTAAACCGGCGCCAAACTGAAAGCTGTGCTGTATTGAGTTACGCAGACCAGCCATTGAGTCAGAAGTGTGCTCGAGCTGTGCTGGCTAAATTTGAGATCATAACGGCGCATATAGATAGATAAGCCTTATTATTTAAGCCTCAGTTCTATGCCGTCTTCATATAGAGTCGATAAGTTAATATAAAGTAAAACAGCAACAAAATTTAGCCGCGAATGATACGTACGAAATGAAAACTATTATACGATATGAGGTCTGATTCTGTATGAAAGCTTGCCTTTGGTGGAGGTTCTCGATTGGTGGGGGTTTATATGATTGGAATATGTAAGTTAACTTTACACCTGATTGTCAACAGGGTAAACAAGCAAAAAACAGGCCAACGTTAATTTGGCGAAAAGCCGAATAAACCAGTTTTATTACCTTTATTTTAATTTCCAGTTTACTAGGTGTTTCTGTGTGAATTATATTTTTACTGAAATCGAAATGGAATTTATTTAGTGCATGTTATATTTTACTAAGTTTAGCATTACCTATAGTAAAAATTTAAAATTCTAATTGGTCTTTGTGTACTGAAAGTGTATAACCTTATATCTTCACTATACTATTATTTCAATTGTTGAATTCTAACAATGATCATTTAATGTAACAGTGACTTCAAATATACTTCTATTGTATGTAATGTGGTCGTTAAAAATAAATAAATAAAATAAATATTAAATATATATGTAATATTATGAAAAAACATTTGTTCGTGTATTAACAAATAACTAGAAGAAGTATTACAGTTTTTTTGTATCCATATATTGTTGATAATTTTGCAAATATTTGTAGATATTATTTATGTTTGTATCTTATGTGTACTTAATTCAGTACGCGCCACTGGCGCGTCGATTGGTGTAAACAGATCTGCGCAATCAGATTAGTGCACAACACAGTACAGGTTTTGGTGTGCGGGCAGCTTTATGTTGTATTTACTAACAAATATTTCATAAATAATATGTATAGTCTTTGCGATGTCAATTGAAGAACCAAGAGGATGACAGTATGTACCAGGTTCGGTCGCTGACGCCGCAACTCGACATTGCAATATTTGAAAAACTTATTCCCATATTTATTTAGCCATACCCATGTACATGTCTGGTCGAACTAAACGTGGAGGTGGTAGAAATGTATACGCCCAGTTGAAGAATACGAGCGCGGGCTAACACAGCTTCATTGGGCCACTGGGCAATAAATCTCAGCCGTTGACAAGTGTTGACAAATTGCCCAGCAGTGCAGTGCAGCAATGCGGAATTTGATGTGATTCAGGTAATTTTAATTTATTATAGGCACCTTCTATTAGTCATTCATATTACAATTGCGAAAGGGAGAAATAATATTATTACAACATGGCATTTTGGAGACCTTTTGAAACGGAACAAAACGAAATTCACCATCAATATAATAAAATTGTTTGAGGACATAAATAATTAAAACATGTTGTTGGCCAAATTAACATATAATAGAAATTTTCTGCACATTATATACAAATTATTATAATTTTTTTACCTTTATCAGAAAAATTTTTTTGGGGACGCCTATGAAATTAGATTTTATTGCCAGGTATTTTTTACATGTTCAACTGACTTCGGAAAGACTATCACTGCAACAATTCCACTCATTCGAATAAAAATATACATATACTTGTTAACTTATTTAATACAACTGAAAACAATCAGGGCTTACTTAACAATATACAATATTGTACAAATCCAATACTTTGTAGGTACGTCAAAAGTCTTAAAAAAGGTTATATAAAAGGGTACCTTTATTGATGTAAGTACCGAAAAATATTGGGACACTGTTTGGAATCACCATGTATAACAAAATCTTATTTTAGTCTGTCTGTTAGTATCGCTAATTTTACTAGTTTTATCTGCGTTTTAAGTTTCCTTTAATTCTTTCAATACTGTATTTAATTATACGCAATAACATGTTTATTCATAAATCTGTTCAACATAGCGACATTATTAATTGCAAATAAATATCATTAAAATAATATATACATAAATATATGTATACATTTTTTTAAAGAAATAGGCGTATGTATATATACCTAATTTATTCTATGGTGGCATTATTCCGGATTCTTAGGATTAGTGACTTTAGTGCAGTATTTGTAAAAAGTAAATTTAGTATATAATATCAGTGCAATGTTTATTTTTATTCTAGAGGAAATGAAAAGAAATCGAGTATATGCATATATTTACAAGTGTTTATCGAGAAATCGTGAAGTGTGAAGTATCGTACATAAATCTTATGTACATATTTAAAAAAGAAAATACTACAGAATGTTCATAATGTGTTGTTATTAAATTGTCTCACGAACCTTTTATACGAATGATATCTAGGTGAAGTCAGACAACAATTATTATTATTATAAATTAATTATATTAAAAATTCCACCCCATTTTTAATTTTAAAACCGGATGCCTACGTTCAAAGTCAAACTTGGTTATATTATAATAATCATTTTATTGGTAATTAATTTCGCACTAAAATGTCAAAACGTACTAATTAAAAAAAACGAAATATAAAGACTGGTTTTATGAAAAATGAAACACAACGTACCTATATAATAAAAAAATACACAAGTTAAATAAAATTATGTAACTACATAATTCAGACCTTAGAATCATGCTTTATTCTGTTCTTGTAGAGGGCCCTAGATACGATATTTCTCAGGAACATGTTAGAAAATAATTTTCTGTAAGCAAGCACAAAAAAAATGGACTATAATGGCTCGATAGTGAGCACCATTAACTGTTATTGCCTAACCAGTCGCATTTTCGAAGAAGAATATCCGATGATACCTCCAGCCCAAACATAATGAAAATAGTCAAAATACATCTCAAAATATCTACAAAATCACTAAATGCGCATAACACTCTCTAGTCTTGAAAACAGTTGATCTGGGAAGTGCATGCAAATTAATCTCCACATCACCATGCCATCTAATTTTTGGTCATCCACGTCTCTTTCTTCCTCTAATGATACTTTGTATCATTTTGTGTGGAGTTCTATGCCTTGGCATTCTTATTAGACCCATGCATCTAAGTCTTTGAATTTTTACTGAACCTTTGGACATCAGGTTTGTTAAATAGGAATGCTAACTCGTCTTCTACTTTTCTTCCCACCGTATATCTTTCTTAATATTTTTCTTTCCCATATCCTTAACCTATTTTATTAGTACCGACATTATGACAGTTTTATAGATCCTATTTTTAATATATTATTAAGAGTTCCAACGGCAATAACATGTCTGCCATTAACATGTTTGCTAGTTCTTCTTACAAGTTAGATTTCCAAGTAAATACTGTTCCTAAGTATGAAAATTTCTCAATTTCTTCAAGAGTATCCATTTTACTTTATTCTCTTATTATTCTTAGATCTTGGTTTCTTCCTTCTCACAATCAGAGATCAGAGATAATCTAAGTTTCCCATTGCATCTGCTGAATTTACCAATCTCTTAAATATTTCTGTTATTTCTATTTCTACTACTACTAGTTAAAATTATTATAATATCATCTGCACGTACACTGGTATCGTTTGTGATATATTAAACCAGACTTGTTTATGTTCCCCGTGTATATTCTAGCGCTGCACTGAACAAATACAGAGATAACTAGTCTCCTTGTCTAAGACCTACTGCTATTTCAGTTCTTTCTGAAAGCATTCTATTTACCCTATTCTCTGTTTGTGTTTATGTCAAGTGACGTATTTACATTCTCAAAAACTTAGTTATATCAAATTTCAATGCATATTGCTTTTATTTTTGAAAGATATTGCAAAAATTTCGAAAAATCAGCTTTGGCGAAAAATTGTATTATTTCTTGATGTCAGAGGCTACTCTGAGTTTATGGCAACTATTTTTAAACGTTTTGTATTAATCAGCGGCACAATATTTTTGTAGGTATGGAAACTACAATTAAAATGTTACTCGCCAAATTTGGTTTGGCTTTTGGCTGATTTTGAACAAGTTTCTTCGTACAACTTTCTAATAAAGAAAAGTCTAATACGAATTTTAGTTTTTGTCTGGATACGCCTTACTAGAAGTGTAAATTCTTGAATCCTTGTTCATAAATTGAACTCAGTTCAGTTTTTCGCGACATAAATTTTAAATGAGGTACGCTGGATGTTGGTAATAATAAAATTCAGATTTATACAATTATAAAATACAGATTTATACTAATTTGATTAACCAGAGACATAAATTTAACACTACCAAAGTAATTGATTGCTGCTTGGCTCGTTAAATCTTTAGTTTCGTCGTCGTTCGAACAGCTCAAGTAA